CGGGGCCCAAGGCCCCCAAGTCAGCCCCTCCCCAGCCTCGAGGTCCGTCACCACAGGACCCGAGGCCGAGTCCTCTCCCCAAGCCCCGACCCCACAAGACAAGGACGGAGCAGCCGGAAAAGCTGGAGGAAGGGGGGCCCACTGGTCAGACCCTAAGCTTCGGCCGGGAGACAAGACTCGAATGCCTCTGCCACCCCCCCGGAAGGGGCAACCCCCGAAGCTGCCCGAGTCTCGAGATCAAGTAACCCCTGCTCCGACCCCGAAACCCTCAGACGCTTCGGGGCCGGAAGCAGGGGCGGGGGACCAGAACGAACAGAAGGGGAAGGACGAGGTGGTGCGGACTGAACCAGGATCGAAGCGACCCCCACCCCCAAGTCCGGGTCTCGAAAAGCAAAGCGGGGCAGCCCCGGGGCATCCGGGGAAGCAACCAACCGAGCGCGTTGCAACAGACGAAACCTAGACTGCAACGCACGTGCCGCCTGTACCCGAATAGAATCATCAGAGGATTGGGTAAATTGAGTCACAAGCAAGCAGCAACACTCACAGGACTCAGGGTCGAAAGTATCACCGACCCAACAGGCAGCGTGGCAGAGGCAAAAACAATGAGGGTCACCCTGAGACAAGGGGACCGAGCAACCCTCAAACTCGCACACAGCGAGTGGGGACTCCGGGGTCACATCCATCGGACCCACGCGCCCCCTAGGGGATTCCCAGGGTCCTGAGCGTTTACTTTAAGAGGACTCGCGCTCAGGTAGTCCCAGGCAGGGTGCTGCAAACCGGCGCCCAAAACTACCAAGCAAACTTCTAAAGCTGAACCCCAGGGACGTGTACACTCACGGGGACCTAGCAGGGGGCGCCACCGAGGAGAACAGTGGAAGGGCAAAAACAAACTGAATAAAATGACAGAACCCCCCACCAGGCAAAAACAAAAACAAAAACAAAACCCCGCAAGAGGACAGCGAACCCCAAGGAACAGAGCCGGCCGCGATGTCGGGAATTACAAGCTGAGCAGCACCCTGCGCCCCTACCAGTGCAAACTGCCTCTTACCTGCCGGTAACAAGGGAGAACAGAACACCCAAGAGCCCAACAGGCGGCCGAAAAACCGAAAGGTAAAACGGACCAGCAGAGGCAGACCCCGAGGAGCCTGTGGAAGGTGGCCCCAAGCCCCAAGGGCAGTACTTACAGGGCACCTAGGGAAGGCAGCCCTAGGCGCATGCAGCCCGAGTACTGAAGATAACTCCTGGCTCTCGCACCCACAAAACTAACACCACACTCAAAGCACAGTGCAGTAGCGACACCGGGGCCAGAGCACACGACCATCGCCTATAGCATCAGCCTCAAGAACTAAGGTGTGGGTAGCCGGCGCAGGGGGTCTGGGGCTCCCCCTTCCCCCTCCCGGGGAGGGGGGAGCTGCGCAGACAGCGGCGCGGCAGTGTGTGACGTCACACTAGTTTGCTTGTTTTCGGTTGGGGAGTTCTATCCACTAGTTCGGTTTTAGGTAGCAATTTTAACCAGAATAGGGGTTTGTTTTGGGGCGCTTACCTTTCTGGGTGCCTGTTCCGGTCGATGGCAGACATAGAATGCTTCCAACTACACGGGGGCTTCTATAGGCCATTGCTCCCCTTGCCTCTCTGAGGGGGCCCGGTTCTGGCCGTGGTCCCCGGTAGGCCTAAGAACTCCATACACATGACTGATGCCAAAGTCTGACATTAGCATATCAGCCTGGGATAGCTCCGGGGAGCCGACGGGGCTCCCCCCAGAAATGATGATAAAAATGGTGATAAAATGGAGTCAGGGGGGCATTGGTGAGAGAGCTGTTGTCAGGAGGCAAGTCGTGTCAGTAGTTAGGATTAGGGGGCAGGAGGTGCAAGTTACGTATTCTCATGGGAGGCAGGTTGTCAGCCAGGCAGCTGATAACCAGCTGAAGTGGTAATAAAATGGTGTCAGGGGGGCATTGGTGAGAGTTGTTGTTGTCAGGAGGCAAGTGGTGTCAGTAGAGGCTGGTTGTCAGTGGTAGAAGTTGTCAAGGAAAGCTGGAGTAATACTGTACAGGTAGTGGTGTCAGTAAAGGCTATAGAGGCAACATGTGACTTGCAGCTCCATGCTCCCTCTCCAGCCCCCCCCCCCCCACCCCCAAATTGTAAAATTATTTGAAAATTAAAATTATTATACAAATTGTTTATTATTTGAAAACAATTTGTAAGCCTATTTAGATTAAATTTTGAGTAGGACAATAAAACAAGCACAGGTCGTGTGAACGTTAGGCCTTGGTGAGGTGGCTGGCATCATTTGTCTCCCCTCCTCCTAGTGTGAAAACGTGTTGCTCGCACACGAAGGATAATTTTGAACAATTTTTATCGTTTGAACTCTTATACTCTGTCAAGATGTTTCGGAGCAGCATTCGTGGTGTTCAAGATTTAAAACAAAAGAGAAAATATTTGTCTGTCACCCGTCTCGCCCAAGAATTCAACATCGGTAAAGCTACAGTTTGTGATATAAAAAAGCAGAAGGATAATATTAGGAAATTCGTTGCTCAGAGTCAAACTCATGCAATAGGCAACAGGAAAACATTGAAGCCTGCTAAATATACAGATTTGGACTCGGCTGTATTCAAATGGTTTACACAGCATCGTGCGAAAGGAATTGCTGTTTCAGTTGATTCTATTAGAAATGCAGCTGAAAGACTTGCTGAAAAGTTAAACATTGACAATTTCAAGGCTAGCACTGGATGGGTATGTTGATTTAAAGAGAGGCATGGCATCATTAACAAGAAAATTTGTGGCGAAGCCTTAAGTGCAGATGTAGGAAGTGTTAATACGTTTAAATATAAACTTTCTCAGCACATGGTATCTAATAATCTAAGCTGGTTTCAAGTGTACAATGCAGACGAAACAGGCTTTAACTGGAAATGCCTTCAAAGAAACACTTTGGCCTCTAGGCTTGAGGAGAGTATTCCTGGTCGCAAGGTAAGCAAGGAAAGAATTTCAGCATTATTGTGCGGTAATGCAGATAGCAGTCACCGAACAAAGTGCGCAATTGTTGGGTAATCTGCCAACCCCAGAGCATTGAAAAACTGCATGAACAGATTACCTGTCGTTTACTACAACACCAAAAATGCCTGGTTCACACAGATTATTTTTGAAGACTGGTTCCAGAATCACTTTTGTAAAGAAGTAAGAAAGCATCAGATCAATGAGCGTGGCATTCGTCCTACTGATGTAAAGGCAATGCTGTTGGTTGATAATGCCCCAGCTCACCCCATTGCTAAATTAACATCGCCTGATGGTAAAATAACATGTATGGCTTTACCACCAAATACTACATCTTTAATACAGCCCATGGATCAGGGGGTTATCTATGCTCTCAAACGGCTTTATAAGAGAGCTATGAATGTAGACATAATGGAAGTTGTGCTCTCTGAGGAAGACAAGATGCTTAATAAGGATACAAGAGCTAGTAGAACACTAGAAAACTTCAAGAAATATTCAATTAAAGACGCTATTTACAACTGGGCCAAACAATGGAACGAGTTGAAGGTCACCACATTAAAGAACGCATGGAATAAAATTCTGAGTCCGGTACCTGGTGAGAATGAAGACGAAGATGACTATGATTTTGAGGACTTTGATAATGCAATTTTTGAGACATTAAGAGATGCTGGCGAGGAAGATTTGCAACTTTCTGATGTGACTGAGTGGTTAGATAATGATGCTGATGATCCAGGTTATGGTGAATTAACTGATGATGAGATTATCCAGTGTGTTACTGGTAATGCTGATGAGGATGCGGAAGAGGAGGAAGATACCTGTAGCATGTTACCTATTCCATATGCTGCATCATTACAAAACCTTAATCAGTTGCTTGATATGGTTGCTGTAACTGATGATGAAGATGTAGCAGATTATTATCTACACCTAAGGGGATTGAAAGATATTATAATGAAGAAGCTCATAATGAAGAAACAAACGAAGATTCAAAAGTTTTTGGTACAACTTAACAGTAGGCCTACAGGACCAGCACCAGCAAGGACTTACCTGAGGATGCCCAGGCAATTGGACCAACACCTAGCACCAGCAAGGACTTACCTGAGGATGCCCAGGCAACTGGACCAGCACCTAGCACCAGCAAGGACTTACCTGAGGATGCCCAGGCAACTGGACCAACACCTAGCACCAGCAAGGACTTACCTGAGGATGCCCAGGCAACTGGACCAGCACCTAGCACCAGCAAGGACTTACCTGAGGATGCCCAGGCAACTGGACCAACACCTAGCACCAGCAAGGACTTACCTGAGGATGCCCAGGCAACTGGACCAGCACCTAGCACCAGCAAGGACTTACCTGAGGATGCCCAGGCAACTGGACCAGCACCTAGCACCAGCAAAGACTTACCTGAGGATGCCCAGGCAACTGGACCAGCACCCACCATTAGCCATAACTTACCTGGGAGTGCCAATTGAGCTGTACAACACAGTTCTAATAACATAAATGTACAAAGTGTAAAAAGTGTAGTTTAAGTGATACAGTACAGTATACGTTTACTTCAGTACTGTAGTGTGATTCTAGTGGTCTGTACTTTATGTACAGACTGTAGTGTATAATGTACATTTGTTAGAAAGTTACTGTTCCTTAATGATTTTATATTCATATCATATCTGGCACTCTCAGGGTATTTGAGGCTAAAAGTCTGCACTACACAACTCAACTGTTAAGGTAAGTACAGTAAAACACTGTAACAATGTATTGCTAGATTTAGAAACTAGATTTTAGATTTAGAAATATTACATAAATTAAGGTTAATTTTTTTTTTGGGGGGGGGGGGATGGTCGGAGCGGGTTTTTTGGACTAGACGGATGGAACAAATTCCGCACTGGAACGAATCGGCCTCGCCCCATACAGTTGGTTCAAGTGAGGACACACTGTAAATAGGTACAGTAAATTATTATTAACAGTTGTGCAGCACTGAATAAAAATAGGAAACTAGAAAGTGACTAATTTACCGTTTCAATGTCCATCACGGTTGCTGTGCTGGTCAGATCTTGCAATGACTTTAAGTAATATTTCATATCAGGACGCGTATGATTCCAATGGGAGCCCAGAACACGTATACGAACACCTCTCTCCATGGCTGCAGCACGGAGGCTGTTATCAATGACAGGCCAAAATCTGAAAATGATTGAATTACAAATATATAATCATGTTACAAATCATAGAAATTGCAGAAACTCAATTTCTATTCAATCTAAAAATCAAGTACTGTAATACTTGAACTATAATTTATTTGAGTGTCTCATTTGGAATAGCCTTTTAACCAAAATTCCTATTTGGGTTAAAACAAAATGAGTAAAAACTCAAATGTAGTTACCCAAGTGTTATTACAGGATGAGAGCTACATGCTCATGGTGTCCCGTCTTCCCAACACTATCATATAACGCTTTGAAACTACTGACGGTTTTGGCTTCCTCCACCTTCTCACCTAACTTATTCCAATCGTCTTCCACTCTGTTTGCGAAAGTGAATTTTCTTATATTGCATTGGCAGCTCTGTTTAGTTAGTTTAAATATATGACCTCTTGTTCTTGGAGTTCCAAGTCTTGGGAATTCTTCCATATCAATTTTATCAATACCCATTACTATTTTGCAATAACTAGGAGGACTTTAGTTACAAGCTTCCTATTCCTGACAGTGGGGGATCCAGTCTTTACAGTAGTGATCATGTCGCCTATTTTTCGTCTATCTTCTAGTTTTGGCATATTTAATGCCTCTAACCTCTCCTAGTAGCTTTTGTCTTTCAGTTCCGGGAGCAATTTAGCTGCATGTCTTTGCACCTTTTCCAGTTTGTTTATGTGCTTCTTAAGATATGGGCACCATAAAACTGCTGCATATTCCAGCTTTGGTCTAACAAAGTTCATTAACAATTTTTTTAGTATTTCACCATCCATGTATTTTAAAAACAAATCTAAAATTGCAAAGTTTAACACAGGCTCCTCACACAACGTTCTTTATGTGGCCCTCAGGTGACAGTTCTCTATCTAGAACCACCCCCTAGATCTCTTTTTTTTATCAGAATTCTTTAAAGATTTATCACATAATTTGTAGGATTTCTGTGGTTTATGTTCTCTTATTCCACATTCCATAACATGGCATTTATTCACATTAAATTCCATTTGCTAAGTGGTGCTCCATACACATTTTGTCCAGGTCTTCTTGAGGGGCATGACAATCGTCTAAGTTTCTTATCTTCCCTAGTATCTTGGCATCATCAGCAAACATGTTCATATAATTCTGTATTCCATCTGGTAGAGCATGTATGTAGAGCACTGGTAATGAACATTACCGGTGCAAAAATTGAACCCTGTGGTACTCCACTCGTGACATTTCTCCAATCTGATACATTCCGATATACAGTACATGTATCGATATACAGTACAGTCTAATATACAGTAATGTGAATTCATTCAGACTACTTGGAGATCCTGGTTACAAAAATCTGAGTTAATGAGCTCTTACAGTAATGGATGATAAATGTGGCAGAAATTGCACAACGTCCTGCATAACAATATTCATGTAAAATACAGAGTACTGTACATTTGCTCATTGGTATCAGAGATACCATCTAATACAGCTCTATCAATTCTATTCATAAGATATGTGATAAAAGAACATGAAGAGCAAGAGGAAAACAAATTTCCTGTAAAAAATTAAACTGTATAAAAAACTAGCGTTGAATGTAATGAAACGCCATTTTCTTTGTGAGTCTAGGAGGCTCCACAGAGCTATCCAGGATGATATGGATATGTGTAACTTTCTGGCATCAGTCAATGTGCATGCAGTTCTTGCCTACCAGGGACTACGGCCAGAGCCTGGCCCCCTCAGAGAGGCACGAGGAGCAATGGCCTATATAAACCCCCGTGTGGTTGGGAGCATTCTATGTCTGCCCTCGAACGGGTCTGGCACCTAGAAAAGTAGGTGCCCCAAAATAAACCCCTATTCTGGTGAAACATTGCTACTGAAAGCCGAATGAGTAGATAGAACTCCTTAAACAAAAATTAGCAAACGAGCATGACGTCATCACGCCCCCGCCCTGCTGTCTGCGCACCCCCACCCCCTCCTCCTCATGGCCACGGCCAGAGAGGCCAAGACGCGTAGACAATGGTGGAGAGACGCAACCAAACAACACATGATGCACCTCTGGCCTGAACAACCAAGCATCAACAACCCAAGGACCCCTCCGGAAAGCAGCAGACTCATATATCGCCAGAAAAGAAGGCGACGGCTGCAACCGAGCAAACCTACGACCAGGACCAAAGGAGCTAAAACCCCTGCGCTGGAGGAGAGCTTGAAGTTCCCCAACCCGACTACCAGAGGCCAATGCTAACAGGAAAAGAGCCGAAGAAAAAACAACCCCAACCCGAAGGGGCCACTATAAACTGAGGAGAAGAGAGAAAGAGAGAGCACCCGGTCCAAAAATCAGGACAGCTCAGGCGGCGGATGAGCAGGCCGGAGGTTATCTTGAGGTTATCTTGAGATGATTTCGGGGCTTTTTAGTGTCCCCGCGGCCCGGTCCTCGACCAGGCCTCCACCCCCAGGAAGCAGCCCGTGACAGCTGACTAATATCCAGGTACCTATTTTACTGCTAGGTAACAGGGGCATAGGGTGAAAGAAACTCTGCCCATTGTTTCTCGCCGGTGCCTGGGATCGAATCCAGGACCACAGGATCACAAGTCCAGCATGCTGTCCGCTCGGCCGACCGACTCCCTCCCCGACCGAGGTGAAGCAATGCATGAGACAGCCAATGAAACAGAACAGACATAACATTAATACCTTACCTTGAGGTTACCTTACCTTGAGGTGCTTCAGGGGCTTAGCGTCCCTGCGGCCTGGTTGTCGACCAGGCCTCCTGGTTGCTGGACTGATCAATTAGGCTGTTGGGCGTGGCTGCTCGCAGCCTGACGTATGAGTCACAGCCTGGTTGATCAGGTATCCTTTGGAGATATTTGTCAAGTTCTCTTTTGAACACTGTTAGAGGTCGACCAGTTATGCCTCTTATGTGTAGTGGAAGCGTGTTGAACAGTCTCGGGCCTCTGATGTTGATAGAGTTCTTCCTCAGAGTACCCGTTGCACCTCTGCTCTTCAACGGGGGTATTCTGCACGTCCTGCCATGCCGTCTGGTCTCATGTGCTGTTATTTCTGTATGCAGGTTTGGGACCAGGCCCTCTACTATTTTCCATGTGTAAATTATTATGTATCTCTCCTGCCTGCACTCAAGGGAATACAGATTTAGGCTCTTTAGTCGGTCCCAGTAGTTTAGATCTTTTACCGAGTGGATTCTAGCAGTAAAGGATCTCTGCACGCTCTCCAGGTCAGCAATATCTCCAGCTTTGAAAGGGGCTGTCATTGTGCAGCAGTACTCCACTCTAAAGAGCACTAGCGTTTTGAAAAGTATCATCATCGGTACAGCATCTCTAGTGCAAAAAGTTCTTGTTATCCAACCTGTCATTTTTCTTGCAGTTGGGACGGCAACTTTATTGTGTTCTTTAAAGGTAAGGTCTTCTGACATCAGTACACCCAGATCCTTTACATTGCCTTTTCGTTCAATGTTATGATTTGAATGAGTTTTGCACGTGGTTTCTGTTTTTATAATTACATTTTTTCCATAGTGCATGAGCTGGAACTTATCTTCGTTAAACATCATATTATTTTCGATAGCCCATAGAAAGACCTGATCTACATCTGATTGGAGGTCTGCCGTGGCCTCTATGTTGCCTACTCTCATGAAGATCCTAGCGTCATCTGCAAAGGATGATACAGTGTTATAGGTTGTGTCCTTGTCTATGTCCGATATGAGGACGAGAAAAAGTACTGGAGCAAGCACAGTACCCTGGAGGACTGAGCTCTTCACGGTTGATGGGCTGAATTTTATTTTGTTGACTATTACACATTGAGTTCTGTTAGTCAGGAAATTGTAGATACATCTGCCTATTTTTCTGGTAATTCCTTTTGAATGCATTTTATGTGCAATAACACCATGGTCACATTTGTCAAAGGCTTTTGTGAAATCTGTGTAAATTACATCATCTTTTTATTTGTCTTCCATGGCATCTAATGCCATGTCATAGTGGTCCAGCAACTGTGAGAGGCAAGAGCGCCTGTTCTGAAACCAGGTTGTCCGGGGTTATGGAGATCCTGTGATTCCATGTACTGTATTTTGTGATCTTACTTCTTAGCATTCTCTCAAAGATTTTTATGATGTGCGATGTTAGTACTAACGGTCTGTAATTTTTTGCCTCTGCTTTATTTCCTCCTTTATGGAGTGGTGCTATCTCTGCTGTTTTTAGTATGTCAGGAATAATGCCAGTATCTAGGCTTTGTCTCCAAAGAATGTGAAGGGCCTGCGATAGTGTTTTTTTTACAGTTCTTGATGAATATGGAGTTCCAAGAATCAGGACTTGGTGCAGAGTGCATAGGCATACTATTTATGGCTTCTTCAAAATGCAGTGGGGATAGGGTGACGTCAGATTGTTTCTATTGTTTATTTTTAAATTGTTTCTATTTCTCTACCTAACCTCCTTTGCCGTTCTTGAGATAGGGTGCGACCCTCAAGTTGTTCTACAATTTATTTTCTCTGCCTATAGAGGGAACGACATTCCCGTTCCAATCTGCATCTCTTCCTCTATTTTTTTTTTTAGAGGTATGCAGTTTGAGCATATTTCTAGTGCTACAGAGCTTATTTTTTCCAAGCACTGGTTTAGGTTTGCATTTTCTAGTTGTTCTTCCCAGCTTATTTCTGTGAAGACTTGGTTTATTTGCTCCCAGTTTATCTGTTTATTATTGAAGTTGAATTTGCCGAAATCTCCTCCACAGGGAATCGGGACTGGTTTTGAAGGTCTATTCCCCATGCTTGTCAGAACTTCAATTAACCCTTAACATGCTCGGGGTTTAATATTCTGTCATCCCCACAGGCGCATGTCATTTTGAAAAAAAAAAAATTATTTTTTCTTCCTAACCTGTTAATTTGTGTTCACTGATCATGGGAAAAATAATAAAAAAATCGTAAGTGGCATATATTGCCCGCTATAGGGCGGGGAAGTCTGGCAAATTATAGGCGCTGACTCAGCGTGCGTCCCAGGCGGTCTGTTGCTCGCAAGCTGTCAGGCCGGAGTTGCCACAAAGAGATAATTACCGAATTATTTCAATGTCTCTGATTGATTTTTCATACTTTTTTTGCTATAATATTATTCAATAGTGTGTAGTTTGATATATTTATATAATAAAATGAGTGAATCATTGCTGTACTCAAAAATATGGTGTGCATATTGTTGATTCAATTATGTTCATCAATCAGTGAACAAATACTTTGTCGGTTATTACACTATAAGCACAGGTTATATATAAGTATCTGCATGTTTTGTTCACTATAACGAACCACTAAGTAGCTATTATGAGTCAAAAAGTAACGAGGAGTGACCGCTGTTTACCAGCCAGCCACTCCCGCCCTCCCTCATCTGACTCACCCACATTCTCCTCCCACAATAATGTTTTTGCTATAATTTTGAGATATATACAAGAGTTGTTACATTCTTGTACAGCAACTAGTACGTGTAGCGTTTCGGGCAGGTCCCTGGAATACGATCCCCTGCCGCGAAGAATCGTTTTTTCACCCAAGTACACATTTTACTGTTGCGTTAAACAGAGGCTACAGTTAAGGAATTGCGCCCAGTAAATCCTCCCCGGCCAGGATACGAACCCAAGACATAGCGCTCGCGGAACGCCAGGCGAGTGTCTTACCACTACACCACGGAGACTGATAATTCACTATATACAGACGTTATATATAAGTATCTACATGTTTTGTTCACCATAACTGTACATCTAAGCTTGTATGGTGAGTAAAGGCACAGAGATGTGGCTACTCACACAGTCAGCTGATCGGCGGCCGCCCTCAAGGCCAGACGCACTAATATTTCTCCTCCAACAATACTGTGTGGTGTTATTACGCTATATACACACATTATATATAAATATCTACCTGTTTTATTCATCATACTTGTACAAATAAACTGGTATGGTGCCCAAAGACCATCGTGGTAACCAGTAAACAACACCGTCGTCTGCACGGTGGCGTTGTGCAGACGACGCCACCGCCCTCACCAAAATGGTGGCTCCAAACCTTCTCTTGCTGTTTATACCCTCTATACGCACGTTATATATAAGTATCTACATTTGTGTTCACCATAGCGAACCACTAAGCTGGTATGCTGAGTGCAGTCAATAAAAGGTGGCCACACACAGTCAAAAGACATCGCCACCACCCTCCCTCCCACAGCATTACATCTCCTTCCATGGCGCACAGCGCTAAATATCACCACAATCCTGCTATTATCAGAACCCTGGTCAGTTTTATCACAGTCAGGGGTCTTCTGTAATAATATCATCGCTTCATAATAGCATGAACAAGTATAATTTGGCATTTTTTGGCGATGCTGTGGTCACAAGCTGAACAGCAGTGCTGTTAGCTCATGCTGCGTGCGTCAGGCTTGGTTGCTCACTCAATACTGAGGCCAATAACACCCGGGAGTTTGGCCCACGATTTTTTTTTAAAATGGCGTCTGTTTACAAGAGCCCTGATGAAGGTGTGGTGAACCCCGTGTATCCGCGGGCTGTTTAAATCTTGCGTAGTATTCCAACACATCATATGACGTGATGCGCAGTTGACTGGAACAACGTTCAGCACGTCATATGACGTGATGTGCACTTTAAGGGTTAATGTTTTCTCATATAGTATTCCAGTTCACAGGAATAACTTTAAACCTTTGGTTACATACTAAGACCCGAATGCAATAGTGGAGCAAATTTAGCATTTTTTTTTATCTGCATGATGACGACAAAAAATCAGCGATGAATGTAATGAAACGCCATTTTCTGAGTGAGACCCGTTGGTTCCCCCGGAACTATCCAGGCTGATATTGCTAATGTCAGACTTTGGCATCAGTCATGTGTATGGAGTTTTTAGCCCTACCGGGGATCACAACCCAGAACCTGGCCCCCTCAGAGAGGCACAAGGAGTAATGGCCTATAGAACCCCCCCCCCCATGTGGTTGGAAGCATTCCATGTCTGCCATTGAAATTGAAATTGAAATAAGTTTATTGAGGTAAAATACACACAAAGGGATGAGGTAGCTCAAGCTATTCTCACCCCGTTCAGTACAACGTGTTAATATATACATATACACACATCACAAATAAACATATTACCAAACATTCTGAGAGGTAAAAATATACATTTCCTCCCTCACAAGGAGTATGGTATCAGACGTACACACAAATACTTTTATGACCTAATGTCTGCCATTGACCGGGTTAGGCACCCAGAAAGATAAGCATCCCAAAACAAACCCCTATTCTAGTTAAGAACTTGCTACTGAGAGCCAAACTAGTGGACAGAGCTCCCATAATAAAAACGAGCTAACAAGCATGACGTCACCACGTCGCCGCGCTGCCGTCTGGGCACGTTTGCTCCTCGTGCCTCTCTGAGGGGGGGGCCAGGTTCTGCCTCGTGGTCCCCGGTAGGCCCAAGAACTCCATACACATGACTGATGTCAAAGTCTGACATTAGCAATATCAGCAGCCTGGATAGCTCCGGGGAGCCGACGGGGCTCCCCCCAGAAAAGGATTAACTAAACAGTAAGTACTTATCATTTGCATCTTCAGAGAATTGCATGTAAAAGAATTTAAATCAAAATAATATAGCAAATTTCACTAGGTACTGTTTGGTAATTTAAATACCATAATATTAAAAGTGAAATATCCCCCATAATTATAAGAAAATTACTGTCCCAAATGTGAAGACTCGTTTTGTTACATCAAGGAATCAGTCCAGTAAAATCCTACTCACCATGAGGTTGCAAGACCTTTATGGTCTGGAAATAGGGCTGTTGATTTATGTATCAATTTACCAGGTAACGTAGTAGACATGGAAGTGCTTAATTGTTTCAAGCATGGGGGGTTAGACGAATACAGGTATATGAACAAGTTTGGTTGGGAATAAATAGGAGCTGCTGTGCATTATTCAATAGGGCTTCTGAAGTTGCTTTACTTATGCTCTGAATTATTTTATACTAGAGCTTGTGAGAATTCTTCTCACTTGAGAATATTATAGTAAGCAGAGGTGACCTAATGTTGCCACATACAAAAAAGCATATTAATTTCTGACCTAGAAGGAAATAATTGATTCCCCACCTAGGAATCACAGAAAACAAAGAGAATGCTGGAGTAAATTAATCTTCTCAGAAGCTTTGTGGGATACTGTACTCAACATATTTTCCTCATTATCAGGAATTTTCCTCATTAGATAATTTCCTCATTATCACTCCCCAAATGATAATGAGACACTGTTTTCATTTCTCAGTAAAAACCATCCTGAACAATTATGGGATACTCACATCTTTCTCTTAGTAAACAGCATCTTTGGGAAATAGTCCATTACAGCAATGTAAATAAACTTCTTAGCTTTACTAATAACGTCAACAATGGCATCGATATCATTGCTCCTTCCCTTCGGACAAAATGGAGGTGGAGAACTCTGAAAAGAATTCAAATACAGAAATAAATAACTTTATTACTTAAGATACCAGAGTTTGAAATGCAACTGTAGAGGTGCAAAGACAAATTGACCATAGGACATTTTATTTTCTATACTGTATATGCACCCAACACTATCAACACAGGTCAGTTTGATTCCTAAAATGACCTATTATTCATTCCTTCCCCTGAATTAAAAATTATAGTTAAAATAAAGGAGCTAAGATACAGTTCTGTAACCGACATCTGTTTAATAAACTATGTAACTCTAAAAATCATTGTGCAACACAGGAATTCCTACGAGTAAAATGTTAATACAGTACATTGAAATACCTATCTTAAATACTATATTACCTTTACTACAAGAAGAAAATAAATGGGGTGCAGTTTGATGGCTTTCACAGATAGAAGTTTAGTGTATATTATGCAAGTTTTCAGAAGAGAGAGTATAGTTCTAAATTATCCAACCCACGGTCACACAAACAAGGCAATGGAACCCAATTCTTATTAACTTACAGAAAGATAAGTGTCAACTGTGAACCCACCGAGGGATATGGGCATTTGGTTCTCAATATTAAAGAGCGTCTGCAAAGGGCGAGGCCAGACAGGTGGAATATCGGCTCCCTTCTTGCCCAACTGCCAGTAAACCTAATCACAGGAAAAATATTTTAGATATTAATAGATACAAAGTGCTTAATAATTACTGAATATATAAGAAATCCAATCAGTGATCTTAATATCAAACACTTCATTAAAATCTGGAAAGGTTAGGTTTGGTTAGGCAAATTTGGGTAACATTTGATTAAGTTTGGTTAATTTGGTTTACTATCTTTTATTTCCAATAGTAAGTAGAAGTTAATGGTTGGCAGTGCTGCACAATCTATCACCAAGTGTCATGCTCACTTTTATTTTACTCCATTTAAGTGTTGTGTGGCATTTTCAGGCCAAATGCACAAGTTACAATAGGTTATAAGGCAATGTTATCTTGTATCCAAATACCACAATTGTGCTATACAGTATCTTAATAGTACAACAGTTAGCCTAGGAAATTACAGTTCCCTCACTGATCACTGTCAGTATCATTAACCTGAAAGTGATTTCATCGACAGACACAGACAGACACTAGAAGCAATGCTACAGGGACAGTGTTACCAGGAGGGGCACCTGTATGGCAGGGTGCGTGTACATGCACATAAAGATGCACTTGCAATTCTGCTGGTTGCTGGTAAACAGTATTAGTCAAACTTTTAGATTTAATAAGGAATTTAATAATGATCAGAACAAATTCAAAATCACAAGACATCTATGCAAAAACAAAATAATGTTACCTACCTCAAAGATTTTGCTCATGTCATTTGCCAAACATGAACAATTGTTAATAACTATGCCAACTTCTTTCACCTGAAATTTGTTAAAAATTATCTCAATAAAACTATGACACACAAAAATGTAGTTTATCCAGAACTCAAGCTTAAAACTTTGTAATGCTATTGTCAGTGAAAATGCATAACTACTGTAAACAAATTCTATGGAAGTTCTATGTTATACTGTACATTGCTTAAATCATCCTCACTGGCCACTGGCAGCCATATACACACACACACACAATACAGTATTCACCTGAGTAAGAGACCGCCAGTCCATATTTGCACTTCCAAGATATACGTGCCGACCATCCACAATCCACATTTTGGTATGCAGGACGCCTCCACCCATAAGATGATGGAAATCTAAACTTCGAACCTGAAAATATAAATATAAATTTAAAAAAATGATTGAGTTTAGTTGGGTATAAACAGGAGTTATCTTAGACTGGCCAAGAGGCCTTCTGGAGTTTTCATTGTTCTTATGTTGTTATTACAAATGACCACTAAGTGAAGAGTTGGTAGAGCTTAAGTCTCTTCATAGATGTACTCCTGACAGACATTCTGGACTCTATTAAGCTTTTTTCTTAGAACCTTTATGATCCTACATGGATGTCTAAAAAACCAGTGTTGACTGTAATGAAATGCCATTTTCTGTGCGAGTCCTGGAGGCTCCCCGGAGCTATCCAGGCTGATGTTAATATCATTAGACTTTGGCATCATTCAGTATGTGAATGGAGTTCTAGGCCTACCGGGGACCACAAGCCAGAATCTGGCCCCCTCAGAGAGGCACGAGGATCAGTGGCCTATAGTGGGATTAGGAGCATTCTATATCTGCCATCGACCGGGACAGGCACCCATAAAGGTAAGCGCCTCAAAACAAACCCGTATTCTGGTTTCAACTACTGTCATGGTAATCTCTCAATGAAGGGATTCGGCCTACTCTATTATCACCTATTCTCATACCACCAGTCTACTTCCCTCAGGGCCCGTCAACCTTCGCACCTGGCTCCTGGATCACGCCACCCGGGAAACAATTGTAATGGTGGTTAGAGTGAGCCGGTTTCCAGTTATCGACGACATCAGCGCCACCTGGACGGCCGTTTCTCCTACACATAGAGGCTTGCCAGCTCCAGCAAGCCAGATTACTCCTGAGTGCTCTACTGACTAGGTATGTTGACATACCTCGGTGTGACAACAGATTTATGCAGTCTAGGCTCACAGTATTCCTGCCCCATTTTCTAGTATTTGCACATTAACGTAACGTAAATTTAATTATTTGTCTTGTTTGATTTACACTCTTTGTATCAAGCCAAGCTTGGATATCATTTTTTGCTTTGTAATTTGTTTAATGTCATTCTTATTAAGTAAAGTATTTTTAAATTTTTGTTCTCTATGTCTTATCCTACAGTTACCTCAACGTGAAGATTCAACTTGCAGTCTAACTTTTCCTTTTTTTTTTTTGTTTTTTGTTTATTTTATGTGACTGGCATTCCATCTGCCCTAGAGAGACTGCACTAACAGCCATTTTCTCATCACATAAATTGGAGGCCTGTCCGGGAGCCTCACTCAGGTAATGCTTCTAGACTCTTCACTTAAAAATTGTGGTAACTGTACTTGGCTTTATTACAAATTTACCTTTTCAAAACTCTTATTTTTGAAAAATTTTAATGGTGCTTCATACTGTTTGCTTTCCAGATGTAGCATCATATGATTGTTGGATTTTAGATTATGTGGTGTCTTGTGGCCACAGTCATACTCGTGATTGGTTGTTCCATAATCTTTGCTATAACCTGTGATTTCCACCTTATTCTCGTCCCTACAGGAGATTTCTCATTTAGGCAGATCATCCCCTTTGGTACCTTGGTACTTTGGTCTGTCTGGTCGGCTCTGGCTCCTTCCACTCCTCGTCCTTCCCCATCTGTTCTGCACACTTCCTCCCTTGCTCCCTTTCTTCCAAGGAAGAAACCGACCTTACTAGATGTGCTCAAGTGGCTGACTCCTACAGTCTTATTCACAAAGTACCATCTGATGCACCTTCTAGTAAGTCAACCTGGTCTAGTCCTACAAAAATGAGTACCAGCAATGTGAACGTGTTGTATTGCAAATATTGCAGAATCTATGGACATACCATAGAAAAGTGTCCTAAGAACAAGGGCCTCAGTGAAACTCCTAAGCCCAAATCAACTCCTCCTAAACCCAATAAGCCTGTTATGAATATTCATGTCTCCTCCAATGATCTTTCTCTCTTCAACAGACACCTGTATCCTGGAACTGTCTCTGCCAGCTGTGGAGATTCGGTGGAAAGGTTCAAATTGAAGATCTTGAGAGACATGGCAGCTCTACAATTTATTCTTCTGAAGTCAGCTGTACCCAACGTCACCTACACCGGAGAAACTTATCACGGACCTAACTGCTACTACTCCATATCTACTTGCCCAAGTCCACCTGGATTGTCCCTTTATACAAGGTGAAGTCCAAGTCGCTATCCGGGAAAAGCCTTTTCCCATGTCAGGAGTTCAACTTCTCCTGGGCAACGACTTGCAGAAGGTCAACAACCTACGAATCTAATTATCATCGACAAATCCCAGGTATGTGACTCAGAAGTGGAAAATCCTGTTTTGCAGTTTGTTAAGGAAGAGGTCCCATCAACAGATGATCCTGATGAAGTCTTCCCTCCTGTCTTGGTGACGACGCGTGCTCAAGCTGCACTCCCGCAATCAGCTTCTCCCTCTACTTCAGCTGTCTCTAAAGATTCTCAGAACCTCCCATCGAATCTCACCGTACCGGAGTTCCATAAGTTGCAGAGAGAGGATCCCTCCTTAACACTTTCACGCGCCCGACAGTCCCTGTGTAACTTTCCCCAGTATGCGCCATTCGTTTCGGGAGACCGCGCAGCGACACTTAAATGTTTATAGTCTTTTTGGTCTGCTCATCTTAAATTTCCATGTATGTATTTAAGTTTGGTATCATTTTGTTTGCAAGAGAATGCTCTAGAGGAATATATCTATAAAATTTCTCCAAAGCCGACATGAGACCCACACCAAATAAGAAACTATGACGATCGTTAGCCGTGAGCGCCAAACTGCAATGAAATATTCATGCTCTTTTCATGTTTGTCAACCCCAGAATTGTTCTACGTCGTTAATTTTGGTATCACTGTGACCTCAATAAAATTCCCTACACGGACATATGAATATAAAATACAAATCATAGGCTCGCCCCACCCGCAAGACCGTGGGAAGTTGCCCAAGGGTTACCCGCTACCGCACGCCCAACTGCACATGCGCTACACCACTACTGAAAAGTTTATACTCTTCTCATGTTTTTGACCTTCATTTTCGATGCACGTGTTTTATTTTGGTATCAATGTGTTGCCAATGAAATGTTCTATAGGAACATATGTATACATGTCACCAAAGCTAAAGTGATGCCGGCACCAAATAAAGAATAAAGTCGTTTGTTAGCCGTTCACACCAAACAGCACGCACATAAGGAAGATAAGGAGAAACAGCACGCACATAAGGAGAAGGAAAAAATAGAAGAAGCAGTAAAGGAAGTCAAACACTGCAGCAACCAAGATAAAACAAACATTAGGCTAGAAGTGAGGAAAGAATTGGCATCTAACCCGAAGTTGGTGCAAAACACAGTTGATCGGAGTAAGTCCCTGATCATTTTTGGCTGCAAAGAAAAGGCGATAATATCTAGGTCAGAAAGAGCTGTAGAAGAAGCTAAAGAAGTAGATAAAATTGTTGGCCTCGTAGAAGGTCTTACAACCATAGAGAATGTGTGCGACTACAGGAGAATAGGCAGGTACGTAAAAGGGAAAGATCGGCCTTTGAGGATCACCCTAAACGGTGCCAAACAGATGGAAGAAGTACTAAGGAATGCTAGAAAATTGCAAAGTGATGAGGATGGGAAAGGGTGGTCGTTAAGACGAGATCTTTCAAAAGAAGATAGAGAGAAGCTGAAACTGAACCTCGCCGAGGCAAAACATTTAAATGAGAGCAGGAATGAAGAAGAAATAAATTCTTTTTTCTACAAAGTGATAGGGGTAGGCAAACCAGTAAAGTGGTACATAAAGGCAAACCAACAAAATCAATAGAGAAAGGGGGAGTGAAGAATAAGGAGAGGGGGAACAAGTTCCTGAAGATTGCATACACCAACATAGATGGAGTGAGATCGAAGATACTGGAGTTAAGTGATGTAATACAGCTGCAGACACCAGACATTGTTGCACTCACGGAGACAAAACTTGAAGATGAAATTTTAAATGAGGTCATATTCCCAAGGGGCTACTCAATTTGGAGACGGGACAGAAAAATTAGGAAAGGCGGTGGCGTTGCTGTGCTGGTAAAAGAACACCTAAAGGTGAACGAAATAATGACTGCCAATCCACAAGAAGTTGACATAATAGCACTAGAGATCTGCCATGAGGATGATAAACTAATGATAATAAATGCATATAGTCCACCGCCAAGCAGCACATGGTCAAAGGAGGAGCTAGATAGTAAACGTGAAGGTTTTATAACAATAATGAGAGTGATTATAGCGAGAGCGGATAACGATAGATCACGACTGTTGATAGTCGGTGACTTCAACTTGAAATCCATAGACTGGGAAGCATATGAAGCTAAAACAGAAGATATTTGGACCCGTAAATTTGTAGACCTCATCCTGGAAACATTCTTGTATCAACATGTTAAACAAGCTACGAGGATGAGGGAAGGGGACGTTCCCTCCATGCTAGATTTGATATTTACCAGGAAGGAGGAAGAGATATTTGACATTCAGTACCTTCCTCCCTTGGGTAAAAGTGACCATGTCTTTTGGGGAATAAAGTATGCAATGCGTTATAAGCTGGAAGAAAATAAGGAGGTTGAAGCAGTTGAAAAACCAGACTTCAGGAGAGGACATTATGGTGACCTTAGAAATTTTTTTAGTGAGTATAATTGGACAGACTTGATGCTAGGCAAGGAAGTGAATGAGATGTATGCAAGGTGAATGAGATGTATATCAAGTTTTGTGAAATATATGATAAAGGCACAAAAAAATTTATACCAAAACAGAGATGCAGAACTAGGAAACAGGATTGGTTCAATAGAAATTGCGAGAGGGCTAGAGACCAAAAGACACAAAAATGGAATCAATACAGGAAGAGGCCGAACCCCCAAACATACCAGCGATACAAAGATGCGAGAAACAACTACACGGCAGTGAAGAGAGAGGCAGAAAGAAATTTTGAAAAAAGGATTGAAGACAAATGTAAAACAGAACCAGGTCTATTCTATAAATTCATAAACAACAAATTGCAGGTAAAGGATAATATTCAGAGGTTGAAAATGGGAAATAGATTCACGGAAGATGAAAAGGAAATGT